AATGAAATAAAAGCAAAAGTTAAATAGCCTGAAATAATTATCTAAGAAGAGAAACCATAAACTACTACCAAAAATACAAACAGCAAAGTTCTAAAATCAAAGAAGTGGTACTAGCAGCAAAGCGAAAAAGTCGGGAAGAATGTGGAAACAAGATGGAAGAAGACGAACGCACTAACCGAAAGTTATTCTTTAAAACTCTGAAGTATCTAAAAACCGAGATTCTCCACATACACCAAAGCGGATAAGAAATAACAAATTACACTTACTGCATGACAATACCTAATCACATCTTACATAGATGGAAGCAATATTTAGCGGATCTTCTGAACACCCAAAACGATGTAGACAGCAGCCAAAAAGATGTAGAACCAAAATACAGGCGAAATAACTACAGCAGAAATTAAATAAATTTTTCAAAAACTTTAAAAAAAGGGGGCTATATTTGATAAAATCGAATAAAAAAATTGATAAATGATATTAAAAATAAAAAAAGAAGGTATGCCAAGCCTTTATTGACTTATAAAATGCATTTAATAGTACTCCAAGAAAGGTGATAGATATATGCTTGAAAAAAAGTGTAACTACCAAACTCAAGGAAGAAATTAAAGATATACAAGGAACAAGGTCAGAACCGATGATATGGAATCCGAAGAGTTTATAGTAAATGAGGGTTTACGTCAAGGGGGAGTCCTAGTCCCCAAAGGTATACCAAAAAGTAAAAGTGGCCATCTATAAGACGGTGTTTGTGCCGATTTTAACTTTTGGTAGTGAAAGTTGGACGCTTACTGATAAATCAAGATTGAAAATACTTAGAATAGAAATAAAGTGTCTTAGAAAAATAATGGGCATAACCAGGTTGCATAGGATTAGAAATAAGGCAGTTAGAGAACATCTTAAGGTCTAACCCATTATTAAGAACATTAAAGAGACCCAACTAAGATGGTACAGACACATGATTAGAGTAAATCAAGAAAGGCCAGACAAAGAAGTATAAAAAGCGAGAAGGAAAATTAAGAGCCCAAGGGGTAGGACAATAAAGACTTAGGATGATAACCAAACATCAATGCTAAAGATAAGGGGAATAAGCAAAGTGCAAGCAAGAAACCAAGCGAAGAGTAAGGACCAATGAAGAAAAATTATGCATGCAACTAACTAAGGAAGATACTGCAAGGCTTTAACAACCAAACGGAGTAGGCACAATGATAAACAGATTTGTCTCATGTCATGTATTACACTTTATTATTCCTATATGATCTTGTAATGATGTTACAGCTAAATACAAACTTTAGAATATTACTAATGAATGAATTATACAGTTGTTTGAAGCAACATAGAACAAAAAACAAATCGTTATCCATCATGGACCAGAACATGAGGCGGTATAATGCGTAGTTGAGAAAAATCAGACAAATGATTTAAAAAATCGGATTGGTGGACAGAAAAAGGAAATGGAGGCTCCATATAGATAAATTACCAACTAAAAAACAGGATGATTAATCATTATAATGTAGTTTAATAGCAGCCACAAATCGGGTATAATATTAAAACATTGTTAAGCATAATATTAGTAATACCCATGCCTAGAGTCAGTTATTTCTAACCAGGCGTACACCACAAAAAGAAACCTTTTTACTGCCTTTATTGACTACAAGTAGGTCTTTGATTCAGTACCACATAAATGGCTTATATATATATATATATATATATATATATATATATATATATAAAAATATATATTAAAAATATATAGTCGATGATAATATAAGGATCTTTTTAAAACATATAATGACGAAGCGAAAGAGTAAAATTTACCTTCAAATACCTAATGAAAACAACATCGAATTTGATGAGGGAAACTGTGGAAACATTTTCAAATGATATCAGTATGCACTTTAAACTAGATAAGTGCCGTGTTCTAAATATAGTAACTGATTATAAAGAACGCCATGACTTCAGAAAAGGTAGAAAAGGTTCTTCGCCACGAACTAGCTAACAAACTGGGTCTTCTCCAAACCGACTATCTTTATATATATAAGACCCAGATATAATGCTTGATAATGCACCTTAGATATGCGGATTATATACTCCTGATCTCCTCGGAACGACAAGAACTGGAATTAATGCTGAATGAACTTCATGAAGAATCACTGCAAAAAGGCCTAAAAATTAACTTCAACAAAACAAAAGTAATGACAAACACGGAAGACCAAGAGGCACTAAAAATAAAAACAGAAAAAGTAGAACAGGTAAATGAGTATATCTATCTAGGACAAGCAATCAGAGCTAACAGAGAAAATCAAACAGCCGAAATATCGAGACGAGTAAGAATGGGATGGGCAGCGTTCGGCAAACTTTCTTACGTTTTAAAAAATCATACAATCCCTCTATACTTACAAAGCAAGGTATATAACTCCTGCATAATACCGGTGCTCACCTACGGAGCACAAACATGGACATTTACACAGGCCAATTTGGATAGGATAAGGAAGGCACAAAAAGCGATGGAGAGACAAATGTTGGGTGTATTACTTAGAGATAGATACCAGTGGATCAGAACCAGAACAAAGACAGTAGACGCGATAGAACAAGCAGCAAAACTGAAATGGAAATGGGCTGGACACAATGAACGTCTCCAAGACGGACGATGGAACAACGCCATCGAAAAGTGGCGTCCATACAATGCAAAAAGATCAAGAGGCAGACCACAGATGAGGTGGAAAGATGACATCAGGAAACAAGGAGGTCCCACATGGCAGAGAACAGCTCAAGATAGGGAAAGATGGAGAGAACTGGGGGAGACCTATATCCAACAATGGAAGGATAGAGAATAGGTTCAAAAAAAAAATAATGCTTGAAAACGACAACTATAAAATTTACTAGGACCACACTGTGTTCACAGACCAACTGTTTGCACATAGTAGACCGGATCTCATACTTATTAATAAACTTCCTAAATAGACAACACTAATAGATGTGGTAATACCTAACAATTATAATCTACCTATTTATTACAACAAAATAATAAGTACAGAGAGCTGAAAATACAAATAAGGATACAATGGGAAATGGAAAGTACCCAGATGATACCTATTATTCTCTCTACTACTGGAGTTATTCGGAAAAGCCTCTTAGAGAACATAACACAGTTGGATCTTAGTGAAATCTTTATAGTATATATAGTAAGCAGTACTGCTCATAACATCTAGGTCGCGTAAGACAATTTGTGGGAGATACTCTGACGTACCAAGTCATCTAGGGCTCGATAACACGGAAAGAGTCTTACCAGAGCTCAATCCTTTTGATACCGTAGAGATGAGTGAATTTTTCCCATAGGGAAGTATGAGCCGTATGGCTAAATCTGGGACCATACCTTAAAACCACTTACCACAAAGTCTATTTTGTAATAATCACAAAGAAAAATTCCGAGAATATTAACATACAGGTAAACCATAAACTAAAAATGAACAAACATTAACAAATGAACTGAATACATACGCTAGAAATATAGAGAAACTAGACGTGCGTTTCAAAGCATAAAACAAATAGAGGAACTTAAGAGGATGATTCGCTTCTAGGTTTAGCCTCCAAAATTAAACCTGTATGATTATACCTAACCTTTATCGCAGTTGAAGAAGAAACATTATGAATTAAACATAAACTCCATCAGCATGTTGTTAATGTATATATTACGAGAAATTATTGTGTTTTTAAAATGTTGCGGAGTAAGGCAACGTAGTGTATGGCTGTATGGTTAGTTAAGCCACCTGGTTGATACCATTGCCTATGCACCTAAAGATTTCGTGAGCGTCATAAGTTTTATAAATATTTTATGAAACTGTTATGCAGTATGCAACATTGTTTGCATACAGCATAACAGTTGTTATATGGTCAAATCGGTTAAATAATGACAAATACATTTTAAGCGAGAAATATTACAGATCTTTTAATTCTAATTTGGAACTGTTTACTTGAGAGCAAAATCTATTACCTTAAAACAGAAAACAGGCTAACAAAAGCAGATGAGGAATAAATAAATAAAAAATAAAATTTATTTAAAAAAATATAAAAAAGAGTCTTTTTTAGTTAATTAAACTGAAGATATACAAAAAAAATCTAAAAAATTGTGCAAAGATATATAACAATGTGCAAAATATACTGAAAATAAAAAAAAATAACAAATACAAAAACGAACAATAGAAATGAACAAAATTTAAAAAAAAAAAATGAATTCACCAAGAAATTAATCAAAATAAATTAAACGTAACTCAAATGTTAACAAAATAAAAGAAGAAGGATTATATTATTTATTTAAAACCACAAATTTAAGGTATTAAAGAAATACAAAGTATTAAAGAAAATGTGCCTGGAGTAATTTGAAAAAGCTTACCCTAATCATCATTCTCATATAATCGATAGAGAGCAGGCTACAAGAGTAAGTAACTAAATGAAAATGTGATGATTCAAAACAAGAAGATTAACTAATTATTTGTGGCAGCTTAGCTTCATAATTTCTTTAAAGATTGAGGGATCAAGAAAACTGGAACAAGAGATATCTTACTAAACAATGTAAGCAGCAAAAAAACTTAGTGGATATTTTCTCTTTTACAGTTTATTGTAAAATGCATCGTTACTGACGCACACAGATACTTTTAAAAAACTTGAGAGATGAGTCTGATGTTCAAAATATTTTGTTCTGTTTTGTAATTTAGTTTAAACCGAATATTGATATTAAATTTCCTAATATTTAAAAATATGGTTTTATATTATTCATTAACTAATTATTAATCAGTTTTAGAAAAGCATACCTTCCTTACATAATATTTTAAAAAAACTCTCTAGTTTTGCGCTGTAAAGGAGGAACTGGACTTTTTATATATTCCTTATAAATTTTAAATTCGAAAAAATCTTAAGAAATGTCCATTTCCTTACCTGTATTTTGGTCCAAAAACAATAGCTTGATCAGAGTATATTTTACATTTCTAATATTATATATTTTTTAGCAGACTCCGCAAAACATAAATCAAAATTGTCAAAATTGTCAAAACGAAAACGATCATAGGGAGAAAGAAATCCAAAGGCAAATCGATGCACTCATAGAGCTGAAATGTAAACAATTAGGTAAAGGATTCAATAGCAAATACAATGCCCTTCATCTAGAGCAGTGGATGAAAGGACAGTTAAATCGCGAGCAAACTGCAGAAACTCCAGAGGAAGAAAAAGAATGCTTGCTTGAAGAGTGGACGGAGGAGATGTTAAGAAAGAGATCGGAAGAACTGCAGCTGATAGATTCTGAAGGTAATATTCAAACCAAAGATATAAAGGAAGTTCCAAGGAAAAGCGAAAATGGTTGTGATGAGGGGGTGCTATCAGAAAATGACCATAGTCCGTCCAAAAGTACAACAACTGAAAGCCAGGTAAGTTTTTGCAAAAATTAACCAATTAAATAAAGCGTGAACCAAACATGGGGTGAACTGACAAAAAACAGACCCGTTACCAGATGCAATATTTTATAAAAGAAATAACCCTTTAATGTTGGTTTAAAGAGGGTCAATTCTTCCTATTATGTCTAAAAAATATTTTAAAATATAAATTATATGGCTTCTTTTTTCGAACCCATCTGTTATAAATCGATTATACTACAGGTAATTGGTGCACGGACGATTATTCAAGGGCAATTATGCAAGGAGTTATTGACTGTTTTAGGTTCTCTACTACATACCTAACAATTTAAGACTCCATCCAGTAGATCTATTGTATGAAGTTATTTTTTGATTGACGCATGTCTAGTAAGGAAGTCTGTTACGGCTCTGCTAATTTCTGTTTATTTTTTTACAATATTATTGTATGCCCCGGATAGCTTGACTGAGTATATTTTCCAATCAAAAATTATGTTGTGTTGTGAACTAAGCTTTTTTCCGTAATGCTCTACTGGTAAATGCATTAGCTCTTTCATTGCCATGTAATCCTTGATAGTTATTATTTTTTTTATCTAGGTTTAACCTTACGGCTTACACTCCCTCTAAGTAAAAAATTCACTCATCCCAGATACCTACGGTATCAAAAGGATTGAGCACTGGTGGGACTCTTTTTATATTATCGAGCCCTAGGTGACTTGGTATGCTAGAGTATCTCCCAAAAATTTTCGTACACATCTGGACGTTACGTCGCGAGGAGTACAGCTTTCTACATGGTCTTATAGAGATGTTCATTTAGACCTAGCTGTTTTATGTTCTCTAGGAGGTTTTGGGAATAACACCAGTAGTAGATAGTCTAATAAGTACTGTCTGGGTACTCTCTATTTTCCATTGTCTCCTTATTTTATTTTCAGATTTCTGTACCTGGCGATACTTCGTTATATTTAACCTGGCAGCCCTGGTCAGATGTTGTATGGTTTCTTGGGCATTTATAGGCATTTATATCATTTTATATATATATATATATATATATATATATATATATATATATATATATATATATATATATATATATATCTTGGGCATTTATAGGTATTTGTCATTTTGGACTTAAGTATCTTCAACAATATATTTTAGGTATTTTTTAGTTGGAATTTAATCCTGAATGGCAAGTAGGAAACCCTCAGTCTTAGAAAACATATTTTTTGATGTCAACCAATAGGTCGACGCTATATTGTCGACATATTCTTGCCTAATCTGATTAAGATGTCGCCAATGCAAAGGTTTACTCATGAAGGTCCGCATTTTTTTGCTTAGTTAGGTGGGTTATGCACATGTCTTGTTTCCTCAGTTTAAGCGGCGTTATATCATCTACAGTATTGCTCGATGTAAGTAGATATCTCAGCTTGCACCTGAAAATAAGTACTTAAAGTAGCCACCTGTTTATCCAGTTTACCACCTATTTGTATAGTTCCTCTATGCTCTTAATATCGCGGTAATTTTGTTATCGCTGGTGCACTGCGTGGATGGTAGTTTTGCGCCTCTGTGAGAAGTGTTCGTACTTTTCACTGGATACTATCTATACTCTCTAGACCACTTTATAATAATATATAAGTAGCTAATCGCAGAACAGGCGTAGTATTTAATGTCATAAACAAATTTTTGCTAATAAGATATAACCGAATCAGCTGTCTTACTCTTCGCACAAACATAGAAGTTAGTTCGGTTTTTATTAGCTCATTATATTTATTCATTATAGTTAGTTCAATATATATGGTCAATTTTTTGTACTTGCTGTCCTCCGAAATATTTGTACATATCATATTCACCCATTGCCTCAATGTTTTGGCAATCTTGTATATCAAAACCTCCGGGATGAATCTATCCTCTGACTATATTTACTATACGGCACTTGTCTAGTCCAAAGTGCATACTAATACCATTTAAGAAAGTTTCTACAGATTTTATCATCTGATCTAGGTGGTTTAGAGTAAAAGGCAATACTTTTAAATCAACAATATACAACAGATCATTAAGCTTCACCACAGTAGTATTGTTATTTGTACTGTACTTGTTAGTAAATTAAAATAATCTGGAACTCATGCCAGTATTACACTTACATAGTTATGTTCCGTCAATCTATCGAGTTTTCCTTAGCATTCCCACTCTAGTCATAATAGCAGTCGCACCTTAGGGTTGTGGGGAATCTGGATTGAGTATTTTTTCCTCCCTATCCTTTTGATGGACAGATGTCCATTTGAAAAGGTAATTTAGTCCTGCATATAAATACCATAAGTTATCCGTTCGGTATCCCTGATTTCATGTATATTGTTACTATGTCTGTATCTAACCATTAGGTTGCTTAGCCTATGATAATCCATTCTCACCTTTCACCTAATAATGAGGTGCAAAGGATGAAATTCTAGTACGGCGTCCATAGCTGTTGTTGGTGTGGTCCTCAGAGCCTCTGTAATTTAAGCAACTATGTGCACTTTGCTTAGTTTGAGGATAACACTTTTTAGTGCACCTTTGACCGTCATACCACTAATGCGTATCTGGTTGTAATAAAGCCACTTTCCTTCTACTTCGTTGAATAAATTTTGGGAACGCAGCACCTCAAGATGTTGCGAACATTATCGACATAAACATGTTAGGAGAACATGTTCGTAAATATTGTTAAAAAAAATGAGAATATGGCTAATAAAAACGAAAAATTATAAGGGCTGTATATAATGAAGCTGGTTGTAGTTTTAGGATTTATCTAAATTCTACGTTAGGTACTAGACAACTGTAGGAAGTTAATGAGTGGGGTTTTCTACACCATTTTTTTTTTAACAATGAGTAAGTGAGCAGTTGACAATTTTTTATTTGTCTTTAAATACAATTTGTTGCAAACAGTTTTTCAATTATTGGTTTACAGAGGGGAATATTAGCTGTAATTAATGAATGTTCAAAATCAATTTTGTGTTCTGTATAGAGATGATGTTGGCCTAGGTCTAAAACTGAACCTGAATATTGCAAATGGGAATAACATGTTTTTAGATTATATTTTGGAATTCTTCGATGATTTTGACCTATGTATGATGATGGACAGTGCATACAAGAATTTCATAAACGATGTATTATTTGTTTGGGTTGTTGTCTTTGAAAGATTAGACAAGAGATGTAAGTTTTAATGAGGGATAAATATATTGTGAAAATTTTATTGATTTTTTTCAATGGTATCTTTGGAGATAGATCTGTGAGTGCTTCTATTAATATGATTTTCGTGATAATAATTTTCGACGAGGGCATATTTCAGGGAAGAAAGATCTGCGGATCCACTTGAGTCGTACAAAAGGACTCTTGATCTAGAAACTAAGAGCAGTAATGATTGAATTAATTTTTAAACGTGGATGATGTAACTTGAAATGCAAATAAAGCTCGTATGGCTTGGTTTTTTATTAACACAGCAATGGAAACTTTGGTGATGGTTTTTTTATATGGATACAGAGGAATAACAATGATAAATCAATGTCCTTGTCCACCATCAACTGTATATTGGTATGTATGCCAATATACCAAAGTATCATTGCCGTGGAAACTAACGCATCTATGGAGTTTAAAGCTAACTGGGAACGTTTAGATCGTTTAAAACAAAAAGAAAAGGTTAATACGAATAAATAATATAACTAAGGTAAAAATATTGGCATATCTCGTAACAATACAGTTTATGTTAATCTGTACACTATTGCTACATTATGCGTTTTTTTAGTATTAGCGTTAACACAAGGAATTATAATAGCGTTATTGTGTATGAAATTTTACATTTTAGCATAGGCTGTGGGAAAAAAAAGGGTGATTTTACACTGTAATCCAGGAATTTATGTAATGTGGCCTAGGTTATAAAGGACAACCTCAGGAGTAATCCCCCAGTTCATTCAACAAAAATTTTTTGGTTATTGTTTATTTATGAGCGTTTATAGGTGCAAAATACTTTACTATATATAAACTTTACTATATATTTAACAATTCTTTAAGTATTTTTTTAAATACTCTATGCCCTTATGTTTCTAACTAAACATATTATTTTTAGATAACAGTCCGATCAAGCCCTTTAGTGCCAGAAACAGTCCCAGTTTGTCGACAGTGTCATAAGACATGCCTCAGTAGTAACGGAACAATGAATGGTAGTACAAAGAATTTAAACGGATGCAACATTAACAGAAACATTGCATCAAGACTTAATAATAACCTCGTAAAAGATAAAAACGATAATGATGAGGATGATTGGCAAGCCTTTATGCTAGTAGGTAAGAAAAACAAAAAAAATGAAAGTAGCTTTATGTCATAGGTTGTATTTACAAAAAAAATTGATATCCTTCTTTTTTGTGTGTGTGTTTTGGCTTGGACAATTGTCATTCAGCCAGTCTCAATCAAGATAAGTTTATTAATGTAGTGTGTGTGTGTGTGTGTGTGTGTGTGTGTGTGTGTGTGTGTGTGTGTGTGTGTGTGTGTGTGTTTTGTGTGTGTGTAGAGTAATTGTCTTGATACTTAGCAAAGTCGACGTCATTGTCTTTGCTAAGAGACGCTAATTGTATCCGAACGTCTGCGGTCCCTCCGGTTAGTACCGATCAGACAAGGATAGAAATTATTTTCATTTATCAATTTTTTTTAATAAACGAAAATTTCCACCCAGGTGGGATTCGAACTCACGACCTTTAGGTTTAAAGGCAGGCGCTTTTACCACTGAGCCACAGAGGGGGTAATATATCCTTCTTAAACTAGATACTTTTTCCTTTTCTGTAAGCAGTGGCGGCTGGTGATAATTTTGTTCAGAGGACGTTGATTTGGGCATACAAAAAATAAAAAGGTACTTACCAAAGGCCTTCTTTTTAAAATGAAACTCAATCCTTCGGTTTTTGTCGGAGGTTTTTCTACAACCATTTTGCTGAAATCATAAATTTCTCCGACTATAGTTTTTTCGATGGAGAACACCGCAAGTGTCGTCAGTTTTATTCCGAAATTATATTCCTCACTGCCTTAATCAATTTCAAAATAGAGAAACATCTTCTAGTTTAAAAATATTGAATCCAAACTTTACAACACTATTAATTTAAAAATACGTCATTAGCCGATTATATTTTTGTTTTTTGTTTTATTTCTGACAGCGAGTAAAACATTCTCAATTATAATTGGCATATTTTTTAGCCATAAGACATGCGTTGCAATGATATTAATATTTTATAAAGATAATTCCTTTCTATAGTGCTCATATTTTCCTTTTTTAAATAAACTTGCACTAGATAGATAACTCTTAAAAGCAAAACTATCCCAATATTTTCTGATGTTAATAACTATTTAAAAACTTTCAATGGGATATTGCGCATTATGTACGGATTATTACTGCTCCGAGCCTTCGAAATCCTTTCTGATGTCTTCTTCATTGCTTCTGGGGTCCCGGTCTCTCAAGCCCTATAGACACTACTACACTAATCACTAATCACTGCACTACTGCTACTAGAAACAGCGGATAGTTCATTTCTACCGTCGATGGTATCTTCTTTATGAGAGGTCTTCATGTCCAAGGTAACCGGATGCCGATGCCGTAATGCCGAGCTGAATTTATACGGAATTGGAAACAGAAATGGAATGTTCATAAATCCTATTTTGGATTATATTTGTTTGGCCTATATAAGATAGGTGACAGTCTGCACAAGGAATTTTATAATAAACTTCGTGCTGTTTTGTTGTGGGGTAAATGTTATCTTTATTTATCTTGATTTAAGGATTTTGATGATTTTGTCAGTGATATCTTTGATGTAAGGAAGAAAAGCTTTCGTATAATGAGGGTCTGAGTCTGTGGGTTGAGATTGAGTGGAAGTTTGATGTTTGTGTATAATGCGATTTTCACGACAACTGCTTTGGATGAGGGCTTGTTTTAAACTAGAGAGCTGAGCGGGTCTATTTGCATCGTCACAAAGGCGTATTGATCTGAAAACAAGGGTAGTATTGACTGAATTAATTTGTGAGGGTAGATGATGAGAGCTGGCATGCAAGTAACGCTTGGTATTAGTGGGTTTTCGATAAACAGAGTGATGAAAACCCTTGGGATTGGTTTTTCTTTGTGATAACGTCGAGAAGAATTTTGAAGATACCATGAACCGATCATATTACGAATGAAATGATGTTGCCCAGAATGGGAAGAGACAGAGAACTTTTGACCACCATTAAAAGGCAAAAGACAGCATATTTGGGGCACATACTTAGAAATTATAAGTACGAGTTGTTGCAGCTGATTATAAAGGGTAAAATCGAAGAAAAAAGGGGTCCTGATAGACGACAAATATGCTGGACCGGGTTAAACACACACACGCTTGTAAGAAAAGCAGAAGATAGAGGCGAATTTACAATGGTTATAGCCGACCTTCATTAGTGACGATGGCACTAGAAGAAGAATAACGTCTAGAACCGGTAGGGATGAATCAGTTTCCATTTCTACCGTGAACTGGATACTATGATGTATACCGTTATAATGGGTTAAAAACACATTAAAGCATTGCTGCCGTGGGGCTAAATGACGAATGTATCATCAACATATCGTAGCTAACCTGTGTAAGTTTGAGCATTGATGTGGATAGTTCCCGGATCTCAAAGTCATTCATAAAGATTGGCAATTACTGGAAATACTGGGAAGCCCATTATGGCACGATTTATTTGTCTGTAGAATTAATTTTAAAAACTGAAATAAGTGTTGGACATACTATATTTAATGAGGAATAAGTCGTCTTGCTAAATACTGCATTTAGTCTCCAGAATGTTTAGAGTGCAACATTTCAAATGAACAATACGAAGTTTATGAAATTTCTTGTACAGGCTGTCCCCAATCTTATATAAGACCAATCGAATCGTAGAATGCAAAATACAATTTATGGAAATTTCATTTCTGTTAGCAATTAATTCAATTTCAGCTCTAGGTGAATACCATCTTCATACAGGTTACAAAATTGATTTCAAAAACTACAAAACCATATCCCCAATATTTTCTATAAAACAATAATTATCCGACAGGGCATAGAAATTTATAAAAGACCAACTTGTCTCAATAAAAAATATAACAGCATCCGATTACGTTCGCTATAAAGACCTTTCATAAAAAAAATATGAAAATATTTCACCTTCAAATTAAAATCCTGCCGTCAGAAAAAATCGCGCAAATCCCTACGCCAATCTTACCGGTTATATAAACCAACAATTATCGGACAGGGCATAGAAATTGAAAAAAGATCAACGTGTTTCATAAAAAAAATGGCATTCGATTACCTTTGCTATAAAGACCTTTCATGAAGAAAATATAAAAATATTTCACCTTCAAATTAAAATCTTGCTGTCAGAAAAAATTGCTAAGGGCTTGGCAGACTGAGATCCCGAAAGTCCCGAAAAAGATACCAGAGAGAATGTCGAAAGCTCGGTGCTTCTTTTTCGTATTTATCGTCAACCCCAAGCCTTATATCTTTAAAGTTATATATAATTCTTTAGCTGATGTTTTCAAAGATGTAGTATACTTTTTATAAATAAATTTTAAATTACGAGTAAATTTGAAAGTTCGGACAATTTTTTTTTACCTGTTAATTGTTATAATAAATTGTAATTCACAGTTGAAATTTATGTAGTAAAATGTGTATTTGGTTCTACGTTTTAATTAAAGTATTTATACATTTTGTAGGTCTAATGCCTAACCCTGCAGCCAGTTTAGTTCATATTGACCCGTTTTCAGTTCCTCCAGTTCCTAAAATCTCAGTAGTGCCTGCAACACCAGAGAGCTCTATCTCCAAAACAACGAGCTCTGATACTAAAAATGTGGATAGTTCTTGCTTGTGCCAAAGCGACAATCTTAACGGTTTGGAGGTACCAAAAACTTTATATGTAAATTATGTAAACTTAGTTTTTATCAGTTTTATATTTTTTTACTCTTCTCTATTTTCTGTTTGGAACAGTAATATATAATCATATAAATTTATTAAATTAACATTTTAAATCTTGATGTTTAATTAACATTTTACAGAATCACCGTATTCCAAATGAGAACGAGAAATCCCCTGACGATTCTCCAGAATCTGAAGAACACCCATATCACTCCTTAAGCAGTTCCGTGGCAACACTTAGAAGATTTGGCACAGTTTCAAGCTTGGAAAGAGTAGCATCAGAAGAAAAAGATGAAATTTACGAAAATAATATTGATGATAATACGGAAGAGGAAGTGGAAGAAGAAGAAGTAGACGAAAATGGAATTGACAATGAAGCGTTTAACCATTCAGCGATTCGGCACTGGACGTTACGCGCTGGTTCATTTGTGGCGGAGAAGATGGCGTTTCTGGAGAGGCTAGGGGAGGATTATAGAACAGTAGGATTTTTTGATAGGTAATGGAAACCTGTTATTTTTAAAATTTTAAAATGTAGCATAAAGTAATTTAAATATGCTGGGGTGCAAAATTAACCGGACACTCATATTTATTTGTTTTTTGTTGGTGTTTAGATCAAAACTTGTTTAATGTGTTTGAATTATATTTTATGCCATATAGCGATACCGTTTTCTCTTGTTTGAACCCGTTTAGATGTTTTGTGCGAATAACAACACTTTTACATACTTTTGTTATTAGTGTGAAATAGTGGCTTAGTATTAATTTAAGTTTATTGTGGTACTGTACCTGATTCTCAGTTCGACTGTAGGTTTTTGTATTGTCTCCTGTTTAAAACTTGCATTAAAAAATTATAACACCAGAGAAGTAGCACAAGCTGTTGCTTTACAGGATGATGGACTGAGCATTAATTACATCGCAAATGCTTTAGGAATTTCTCGAAGTACAGGAATCGATGAAATATAAAGCTTGCGGGAAACAGCACAATACACCAGGAGGTCAGGTCAAGGTAGACAAAGAACCGCAAGTCAACTTGAAGATCGCTTTCTTTGGTTACAAGCGTTACGCGATCGTACATTATTAGTACCAGAACTTGTTTAACGATTAAATGATGTCCATAAAAACACGGTTTCCATTTATATCATTTGAAGACGCTTAAATGAATATGGATTAATGTCCAGAATAACCGCCACGGTACCCCCATTAACAGCAGATCATTGGAGGCGTTGGCGATTGGAGTGCTGTGCTTTTCACGGATGAATCAAGATTTAACAGATACTCATCAGGTGGGAGGCCTAGGATATGGAGAAGAGTTGATGAACGTTATTAGCAATGTTGTTTTACTCCGACAGCTCATTTTGGTGGAGGTGGTATAATGGTGTGGGCAGGCATTTTCCTAGAGGCTCATACAGAATTTGTTACAATACAAGGGGGTAATTTGAATACTCAACAGTATATTCTGCAATGAAGATCATGTAGTGCCCTTTGCCCCATTTGTTGGAGAAAACTTTCATCTGATGTAAGATAATGCTCTTCCGCACATCACAAGAATAACAAGGGATTACTTGGATAAAGTTAGGATTCATTTATTACCATGTCCCCCAAGGAAAGCAGACTTAAATACAATAGAACATGCATGTGATATTTTGGGACGATGTATTCGACGTAACCATGGTGAGTAGCCATGAATGATTTGGAGCAAGCATTTTGTGACGAATGAGATTAAATCTCTCAAGCAGACTTTGCTGCCATAATCCGAAATATGAGTAATTGAATGAGAGCCGTAATTAAGGCTCATGGAGGTAATACACTCTACTAAATAGTTTTTCATAAAAAATATTTATATTTAAAAAAATATATAATATTTTTTAATAGTATTTCAATAATTTTTCTTTGTAGATTTACGAATTTTTTTAATTGTTTATTGTTTTTTCTGTGTAACATTCTTGAGTTGTAATACATTTGGCTTTAAATTTTGTTTATTATTAAATACTCAATTGGGAGCATATTAAACTTTTTTAAACGGCAGTTTTTAGAAAAAATCTGAGTGTCCGGTTAATTTTGCACCCTAGTGTATTATAAATGTGAAAATACACCTACAATAGACACAACCACTAACACTAATTTAACTCCATTTAAATACTTTAGATTACCGTTCATACAAGAGTTAACACCAAAACTTACACGAATTTTTAAATCAACTGACGTTAACATAAAAATCGCGAATTACACAGTGTTAAACATTAACTCGATATTCACTAAACTAAAAGATAACACACCTACAGATCAATTATCCAATATAGTCTATTGTATCCCTTGCGGAAGTTGTAACAAACAATATATTGGCCAAACCAACAGCACCTAAAAAATCGTATCACTTCCCACATGAGTGACAGTAGACTATATCCTGATAGATGTTCCCTTGCAAAACATGTACATAATGAACACCATGTAATGAACTATAATGAAACAAAGATTCTTGCAATAGAGAATAATCTCAATAAAAGACTCTTCCTCGAGATAGCATTTATCACCCCAATGGATAACTCAATAAATAAGAAATCAGATGTTGAGCATCTGAGTGAGATTTATGCTTATCTATTACAAATCGAAAAAACAAACATAACTATTAAATAATTATTTTAACACAACAAACATGTAATTTCAAAATTTTCAAAATCCATATATTATATATTAACATATATATATATATATATATATATATATATATATATATATATTAACACCATATAACTAATTATCTCCTTTTACACGTCAATCAATAACATTCGATATTTGGTATTTCTAGTACTTAACCTTAATGACAGTCTGCGAACTAAACGTTTTTTGTTTTTGTTTTTAATTTGTATCGTGTCAATTCTAATATTTTAATTTTAAACGTCAATTATACAACTACATGTTATATGTTCCAAAAAGCTGCAATCCACATCGTACCACAAACCATTCTGATGTTAAAATAAATCATATTGCCGCAACCTCAATCAAGTAAGACTTGAACAACAAACAATTATTGAATGTATTTTTACTTTATTATTTTTATTTTTACCATGTTTTGAATAATTGGAGCTTTCATCTGATGATGCCAATGAAAATTGGCGAAATATAATGAACTGTTGAACAGAGTGCACTTGGCTTTTAATCAGCTGTATACCCAATTAACCTCAACTCCGTATATATATATATATATATATATATATATATATATATATATATATATAAACGTGTATAACGACACTAAGAATACAATTCTTTGGAGGGTAACTTTCGGGAAAGCGTCAAAACAAGGATCAGCTAGAGATGGTATAAGCCAGTTTGGTGTAGAACTTTATTCTAAATGTGAAATTTTCATGTGAAATATATATATATATATATATATATATATATATATATATATATATGTGGAGGGTTAAAGGCGTGTCCTGTTGAAAATGTAACCATTGCATGTCCTGTATTCTACTTACGCACTTCTTGAAGTATGGCGTAAGTGTTTGAGAGTAGGTATAAAAAATCGTCATTTTTCATCTGTACTGTAAAGAACTTTCTACTTGTAGAAGTTATCAGCTCCATCCAATGTTGAGGTACGTAAAGGTTCTTTTTGGTTCTTTTTTTTTAATTCTATTAAACCACAGTCTTGGTTACATTCATTATAACAATAATACCATAAAAAAGCAATAATCTACTGTGTGAATGTTACTGTTGCTGATAATTTAAAGACAAAATTTGAATGCCAGAGAACTCTTATTTTGGTCTCCACAGTTGTCACTAAATGCAGTTATGTGTTTTACAGATGGATGAAGGCTTCTAATATAATTTTACGAGACAAGTTGATATTTTCTAACATCCACGTGACGCCTGGCCTGGCCGCATAAAGAAATGGGTCGTTCCAGTCTGTAGGATATGGACCCCTAAGTTATGCGTCCACAATTGCCTTAAATAATATGCTTTAGAAGTGGACACATTAGAAGTTGGCATAGTCGAAAGGAATACCAGACTAAAATGAAAATGAGCAGGACACATAGCTAGAATGGCAAATGAGTGATAGAAAAAGCGGTTATTTTAATGAAGACCAAGGGAAGACAAGAAAAGCGTAAATCGACCACCTACACGATGGGCTGACGATTTAAGAAAAAAAAAAATAAAATATGGATGAGAGTGGCACAAGGCCGGCCGGGGTTGGAAACAAAAGGAAGAGTCATCTTTTGCTGTACTTATGGCTTCCGCCTTACGCAAGTGAAAGATTTTTTTGTCTGGTCGAAACCGTTTTTTTTGCCGAATCATGATTTATTTTTATCTGAAATTTTTCACATTTATCACAGATGTCTGTACTTGACCTTTTGAAAGTAAGGTTAAATTAAATATTAAAAATATTTCTGTAAAAACTTACACTTAGGTTCTTCCTGTTTTTCCTCTTTACATAAATCGCATTAGTTTAGAAGTTTATACAATATTTTTAAATTATACTCCTGAGAAAGATGATTTTAGGAATCTTACTTCTAGTGTAGTGGCTTGAATACCTAGAAAAATTAATATGCTCTTTTATGATTTTAATTACTCTTCTAGGGTGATTTCTTTCTTCTTTTGTCTAATCATGACACGCCTAAGGAGACATTTTTTGCTTTCAACTACATTTTGTAAACATTTGTTCGAGACATCTAGAGTTTTCATTATAAACTGTTTACATACTCAACTTTCCATATTATAAACACATGACACCTCTTTGTTGCTAACTGCATTTAATTTTTTAGTTTTGCTCTTTTTATAAGCTTAGTCTGTATGGTTGAATTTAGAAAAGCTGTTTGGGAGATTCTAGTACTCAATGCTCAATACTCTTTAAGAATTAAAAGTCTTTGTCCTTGTAAAATAATATTGGTACATTTATTCCATTCCAAGACTGACTTTGTATTCCGCAAATAATTAAACCAACTCTTCTTAAAAACAATGTTTCTTAAAAATAATGTAGTTTATAATAACATAAAACGCAACAGTTTACATTAAAGTATTACTTGCTATACCACTACCCATCCAAAATGACAACAAACTCAACTAACAGTTCGACACAGGGGAACAGGGGTATAGGTCCACTTGTGTCTCTTCTCTTCCAAGCCCTACTCATAGTTGGCTTAGAGTTTAAGTACATTGCTGCTAGAAAGCAGCACCTGTTACACTTAATACTTACATCTCTTTACCTCCAAATAGAATGAAAGAGTTTCAGTTCAGCGATGCATTTTTTTCAATATTTACAAAAATGTCACATATACCCATTTACTTTTAGAGTCCTGAAATAAATAAAATAAAAGATATCAAACTACTGGCACTAGGGTATATCTATGAAGCTTCTAAAATATGTTTGTGATGTAGTTTTTTTGAAAGCCGTCTGTTGTAAACCAGTCGTACTACAGCACTGCACCAACTTGTACAGGTCTAGTGGATGGGTACTATTATTTTTGTGTAGTCACTTCGTAGT